GGGGGTCACCCCGAGCTCAGTCAGCTCGGTCGGGCGCGGGGTGACCCTTGGCGTTGGCAGGCGGCGGCGGCGTCAGCTGCGTGCTGCAGGATGGCGACGTCTTCGAGAAGGCGGGTGTGAATGTGTCCGTCGTGTTCGGGCTCCTGTCCGAGGAGGCGGCGCGGCAGATGCGAAGCCGAGGGAAGTCTCTGAAGGCCAAGGACGGTAAGGTGGCCGGCGGGGAGAAGGGGGACCCCGGGTCGGGGTGCTCTGAAAGTTGCCCAGCCTTTGAGCAGAACGCGGGGGAGGCTGCACTGATCAGTGCCCGAGGGGCTCATTTGGATCATGGTGGCTTTGAAACCATGACGGGTGGGCTTTCCCATCCCTAAAAAGCTGGGTATTGGAGTGCTTCTCCCACACTCTTATTCCCTTAAACCATGTACTGTAGGCACAGGTTGTTCCTGGACGGTGCAGTACCTCAGAGCTGGAGGGAGGGAGCGAAACAGAAAGTCCCGAAGGCTAAGGGGGATTCAACCCACGTTTGTGTAGCAAAGGATAGCTGGGAGGGCTGGGGGTGGTGGAAGGCCTTAGCGGCACCTTATGTTTTAAGTGGACTTCATCTAATGGGTGCTCTAACATACTGTAGTATTTTAGGACAAATACTGAAGAAAGCATTTAGTTGGGTGCACAGAATACGTGGATGAGAAGTCAACTGCACGTTGATTAATAATTATGGTGATCCAACGCGAGAAGGTTTCTCGTAGTGGAACAGAAGCTTGGAACCTAAGGAAAAACAGCAATGTTCCTTAAATGAAAATAAATGAAGTTATTATTACTATTTTTTTTTCTGTGCATCTTTTTATCTAGGGAAGCTGCCTTTTTGCGCCATGGGTGTGAGCTCCGTTATCCATCCAAAGAACCCTCATGTTCCAACCATGCACTTTAACTACAGATACTTTGAAATTGAAGAAGCAGACGGTAAGGGTTTTAATCCAGTGAAGTACATATGAAATTTGTGACTCTGCATGAAGGGAGCGTGAACACGTGACTAGGGTAGGAGGTTAAGAACCATTCTGGGTTTGTTCCCAGCTGTGCCAGGAATCTGTTGTATAGTGCTGGGTCTCAGTCTCTGGGCCTTTGTTGGTGCGTTTGGAAAATTAGCACAATGGTAAAGAGGTTTGCAGTTGTACTTTTTGCAGAGTACACCGGGGGGTTCAGGTTTAAGTCAAAATGTAGGAGGTTATAAATATATGTAAAACATGTTCAAAGAAGCAATTCTAGATTTTAGTAGAAGAAAGGCTTGTGAAGGACTGATAAGCATTCTGGTCAGGATGTACCTTTCTCTCAGAAGCTGGAGGGACGCAGTGTCAGAAACATCAGTCTCTATCTGCATTGTGCCTTTTTTCCCCCCAAATTCTTGCAGTTTGCTACTCTCAGAAGCAGGACTCCAGGCTAGGTGGTCAAACGCTGAGAGCCTGTGTGTACCTTCTGACAGTGTATGTACTGTCAGAAGCTCAAAGAGTTTTTTATCAATTATTTTGCCAGAGCATTATGGATCATTTCTAGTCAGTTCCTTCCCTGGATTTAATAATGGTGTTCCCTGTCTTTGGCTTGCAGTAAAATGTTTTTGGATTCTTGAATAGGAGTTGCCAGTCCATCTCATGAAATTGAAATCCTGTAGTCAAGGTCAGTGGTCCAAAACACTGAACAAATAGTTTCCACTGCTTTGAAATTTATTTGATGTTTTTTCCTGAAGTCACTGGTCATTGCACTACCTCAAACTCAAGATTCTTCATGATGGATATTTAGGAACACCACTGAGTAATGATTTTGTTTTCTATTGTAAAAGTAGTTGTTGTTTCTTGATGAACCACTCACAATGTATTTCTGTTTGGAAGTTTGAAAGAATAATGCAGCTGCTTGCCTCTCTCCTACAGGAACTAAACAGTGGTGGTTTGGTGGTGGGACTGACCTCACTCCGACTTACTTGAATGAAGAGGATGCCGTTCATTTCCACAAGACTCTGAAAGAAGCCTGTGACAAACATGATCTGAAGCTCTATCCCAAGTACAAGAAATGGTATGTGGGAAGGGCTATGCTTGGGCTCCTTTTGTGGGAGCAGAGGTTCTGCTGCCTTTGGGAAAGTATCAGCCTATCCTAATGAAAATCAGCAAATGTGCACTGAAACAAAACGTAGTCTAAAGCAGTCTCTTATTTACAGAAGCCTGAGGTTTTTCAAATCAGAGGGCTGACAACTAGGATCATAAGTCTATAGCCCAAATAAAACCCATGCCAACTCTACAAGGTTTTTTAAGCCACAGACTAGTCTGTGAAGTTTGAAAAGAATTCCTTTTGGCCTCTGGTGTTAAACTAGGATGAGATTTTTGCCCCATGGACTTGCACTAATTCTGCTTACAGCGAACTCATGGTAAATGTGCATGACCTTAATGTGAGCTCTTGGGCCAGCGCTGCAGTTCTGAAAATCCCACTCCAGTTTTTCTGCTTTCAGTCTGACTTTCACTATCTTGGGTTTTTTTGCCAGATAGGTAAAGGAGCTTGTCCTTAATGTCGAAGCTTCCTAGTTTTGATGGAGCTGTACTTTTTTTCCAGTGACACATTCACTGAGAGTTCAACAGCGTATTGTCTAAAGAAGCAAACTTTGAATGTTCTTGAGCTGACAGATAGAGGTGATGGGATCCTTCACTGTTCAATGAGAGCTTGCTGCTCTGTGTCTGATAATCTTATCTGCTACAAGCTGTGGTATCCAGGCAGGTGGAGTTACTCTTTTGTAAACTACCAGGCCTTGTCTGAGGATAGGAGATAAAGTGGGTGTTGTAGCTGTGCTGTGAAACACTTAGTAGAGAAGCACATCTTACACCCTTAAGACTACAGTCTTGTTCTCTGAGGAGTTTTTGCATGGTAGTTCAGAGCATCTAATTTAATGGTCAAGTTGTGTGCAGTGTAGGTAGGCTGGCAATGCTGAAGGGGGTTGGAGAGAAGGAAGCCTGTTCTTAGTCTGAGGGCAGCTCAGGGCAGGACTGATTATGTTGCCCAGGCAAACACAGTTTTCTCAGTCTCGGCATGAGTGTTTGCTGTAGGCAGCAGCTGTGCAGGGGCCTGTGGTTCTCGCTGACAAGAGCAGTGTGAATCTCCTGTGAGCTTTATTAATTAGCATTGCCCCTTTTCCCACCTTTCTCAACCATAAAAGCTCTTCTTAGGTTTGCCACGCTGCCCTCCTGATCTAGGTTTAAGACTTTTGTCAAGCTTGTTTTCTTTTGCATTTCTGACTCAGCCTTTTTTCCTAACTTTTCCTGCTGCCCTAAAGTAAAAAAGCTGATCATCCCAGTGAATAAAAAAGTAGCTTCAGTTATCTGTTACATCTGCACGTCTCTCCTGCTATGGCCATGCCATTTATATCGCTTGAGAACAGCAACTGTGGATGGATGCATATATGGACAACTGGGGCTATAGGAAGGAAAGGTTTCCTTGCTATTGATGGTTTCTGCTTCTTCCTTCCCTTCCATTTCTCCCCCAGGCAAAGACTTACAGGGTATGGCTGCCCAAGTGAGCTACTATAAGCGAGGTAGGGTGTGGATACAATGAATCAGCTAATTTATAGTAATTGCTCGCCTACATACTTCCAGTAAATACAAGAGAGAAACTGCCTCCCTATTGTAGGATAAGCTGTAGTTACTCCTTCATATACTCAGCCATGAGCTGTGAAAAGCCACTGCTAGAATGACTCCATCTTCCAAGTTAAGCTATGGAAAAGCCTTTTTCCAAGGAAGGCTGCCTCACTTTTGACTTTTCCTTAAGTGAGATTGGCTTTCTTATCTGGTCTTGGGTTTTTATATTCTTTAGTTTTGGTACAGAAAATCAATTCTTTTACTAGAATGGCAAAAAGAATAAAGAGACTCTCCTCCAAGTTTATTTTGAGTTCATCTGGAAGCCATATAAATAATTTGGGATCTACATAAAATTATGGTAATGAAATCTGGAAAGGCCTCTTAGGATGAAGCTTTGAAATCAGGTGTCCCTCCTCCGTATAGGAGGAGGATATGGACTGGATCACTCCACATGGAAGCATCTGCCATGGTGTTGAGTGTTACATGTCCAGGGACTGTGTGGCAATATGTAGCTTTGCAGAGACTGTTTAATCAGAGCTTTTTCTGTAAGTGCCTCACCATGTTTCTCTAAATATTGTGGACCATATTAATAATCATCTGCTGCTTCTTCTTCTAGGTGCGATGACTACTTCTATATCGAGCACCGTGGTGAACGAAGAGGGATTGGAGGCATATTCTTTGATGACCTGAACTCTCCCTCCAAGGAGGAAGTATTCCAGTTTGTGAAGAGTTGTGCCAAAGCTGTTGTGCCTTGTTACATTCCCATTGTGAAAAGGCACTGCCATGACTCCTTCACAGCAGAGGAAAAGCTATGGCAGCAGCTTCGGAGAGGACGGTGAGTACTGACAGAACAAAAGAATATACGGGCAGTGGCTTACACTGGTGAGAAAAAAATGAGGTGGTTGTGGATGGTGGCAGGTTTATGTCCTGTTGTGGTGTGGGCTAAGTTTGCTTGAGTGCTCCATAGCTTGCCAGAGAATCTCAGCATTTTTGTGCACAGAACGCTAGATTGCCAAGGAGGGTGCAAAGAAGGTACTAGCACACCCTCATCTTTGTCTCCCACTTGCCCATGTTGCAGCATAAGCAACCCATACAAAATGCCACAGTTTCTCTCCAACTCCTTCAAAAACCAAGAGAAGCTACTGCTTTGTAACAGGCAAAGAGGGGTGGGTGTGTGCTTGGTGTTCTGAACCCTACCCTCTTCTGTAGCCCAGTGATATGGGCTATAGCACTGCCCTGTGACGTGAGGAGCAGAGGGTGAGGCAGTCATGCATCCTGCTCACTAATGAAGCTAAACCCCAGAAAGTCATTAAGGAGCTGTACCCAAGAGTACTTTCAGCTTCTTATGTGCATACTTATTCCATCTGATCTTGGCATCGAAATGAGGACACAGTGAACTCTTCGTAAAGGAGTAAAGATACAGAGGGGGTTTTTCTGGCATGGTCCAAATTCACTGTAACTTAAAATTTTGGAGGATGCTTATTAACATGAATGACTGTTAATGCTGCATTGGTAGATGCAGTATTACTGCTCTCTCTCTACATCCTGTGATTGTGTAAGCCTGTGGAGAAATGAGAATACACGTGCTTTGGGCAGAACTAGGGAGTTATTTCTGCCTCTTCTGCAGAGAAATCTGTGAGAGTAGTGTAGAGAGCATGGAAGCATTGAAGATGAAATCACTGGCCTGCAGCAGTTCCTCAGATAAGCATATATGCTTCATTTGGTGGGACTGTTCCTGGGAGTGTTGGGCTTTTGTGGTCTGGCCTACAGATGGGATTTAGCAAACCTGCTAAGGCCATAAGGGGGAATAGCTTCTTTGAACTGCAGCCAGGACCAGCTTGCGAGGTCTGCTCATGTCTCTGGATCTATTTGTAGATTATTGGGCTAGATAAAGCTCTCCATTTCTGCAAATAGATAGGAGCTCCTCCCTTCCTGTACCTCTGTTAAGTACTAGTACCTCAGTACTGGGTATTAAGGTAATCCTGCTGAATTGTCACTGCTCTGTTCCTATGCTGGGGGCAGAAACCCATCTATTCCAGCATTTAAAAGTCCCAGCCAGCACTCTGAACCTGTCTGACTTCTGCTGCATTCCAGATGTCCTCAAGAAACAGAAAGTCTTGTTCTGACCTTGCTGCTTATGTGGCCTTCGGCATGGAGGACTGCACAGTGGAATTTTTCATGTGGTCATTTCCTGTGGTCATGGTTCCTTTAAGGCTCTTTTTAATGTCTGACACCAACACACAAAAGAGTTTAATTAACCAAGCTAAACTTGATCTCAAGCTTGCAAGCAGGGTTGAGGCCTGGGAGAAATAAGCTAGCATAGTACCTACAGAATGCTCTCCTTTAAATAGTTTGTCTGCTCTGGTCTGTTACCTAAGGCCATTACTTCCTGTGCTTTGTGAAGTGGTGAGGTTACACCTGCATTCCTATGCAGAGGATGCTAGAGAACAGTTGGCCCCAAACCAGGGTTCATTCTGACACCCAACACAGTGGAAAGACAGGTTGGTTTTGTTTGGTATCTGCTGGTTGAAGAAAGCATGACCAGCTTCTGATAATAACCTTGTTTTTCTGTTGCATCTCTTCACTCCCCATAGGTACGTAGAGTTTAACTTGGTTTATGACAGAGGTACAAAGTTTGGCCTCCTGACACCAGGATCAAGAATTGAAAGCATTCTTATATCTCTTCCACTGACTGCAAGGTAAGGGCATAGTTACGTGGAGTTGCAGGTAGGCATTGTTCTTACCAAAATATTTTATAGGATTAAATCCTGGTGTCCAGTCTCTTAACAGTGGTTAGTTCATGCCTGATACAAGAACAGTCCAAACATATGCAGATGCTTTTCTGGTGTGCTACACCCACCCAGTTGCCAGTACTGTGTGGCCTAGATATTTTCTGACAAAACAGTGGTGTTTTTTGTGCTTAGTACCTCTTGATAGATTTCCCCTCCTCGCTCCATGGGTTTTTGTTTAGTAGCTCTTTGAAACTGTGTGAGCTTCTGGCTGTCCTGGCAAGCCTGTGGCAAGGAGTTCCACAGTTTAATTGTGTGCTCTATGAAATAAGTGCCCCTTTGTTTTCTGCTTGCACCTGACGAGTTCATTCAGCTTTTCAGTGAGTAACCAGATTTGCTTCCTGTTCATTTTCTCCATAACAATGCTTATTTTACAGGCCTCTGGTTTTGTCATTGCCTGTTTTACAGGCAGATAAGTCCTGCTCTTTTTAGTCTTTGTACAGTAGCTATTCCACACCTTTGATCCCATTTGCCACTTGCTCTAGGCCCAAGTTTTCTATGCCCTTTCTGAACTGGGGATAAGGAACAGACAATATAAGCTATGTGTATCCAAGATGCAGGTTGCTGCTGACTCAGACAGTGCCATAATGATGTTTTAGTTCATTATTCCTTTCATAATTTTAATATGCTCTTTGTTAGTTTTGACTGCTGCTAAGCACTGAGCTGGCTTTTTCATAGAATTGTTATGATGCCAAGATCTTTTCTGGCCAATAAAAGTTAACCCAGTCTCTCAATGTGTATGTAACTTTTTGCTGTGTGCAGCATCACTCCAGATCAATCAACAGGGAATTTTACCTACCATTTTATTGCTCAGTCGCTTGGCTCAATACTAACTTTTCAACTGCCTTTTTAGGTTTTAACCTATCTTGCTTAATCTTGCAGTATCAGCAAACTCTGTCATTTACAGTTTACCTCCCCTTTTTAGGTTGCTTTTAGATATGCTGAGTAGCACAGGCCCTATCACAAATTTCATAACTTCAATAGTGACCTAACTCCACTAGGAAAACTGACCTTTGCCTGCTACCCCAAACCCACGGAGGCAGTCCGGTTCTCACCATATATCTTCATCCCGCTTGCCAGCACAAGTTGTGTTCCTGACCTGGTGGTGTAGCATGGTCCTATCTTTTGATTTCATTGCTGAGATGATCTGGTTTTGCTTGTTTCCATCAATGTAAATAGCAAGCTTCACAGCATGAATAGGTCCTTCCTGGGGAAAAAAAAATGGGAAAAGATTGTACCCATCCCTTTGTGACCACTGACGCTTCTCTTCTTCTGTCATGACTCTTTTAATGGCCTTTTCAATAAAAAGTGCTCTCTCATCACCTTTGATTTTAAAACCAAGATTCAACTTACAGGGCTTCCAGTCCAGTTTCTAGAAAAACTGGGTCTTGTGTTCTCACTGTCAGAATTGTCTGGCTTCCTGTTTTGCTCTTCTTCCTCATAATATAGTGTGTCACAAGAGACTGCTAAGAGATCTTTGCAAATAAACCTGCATACATTCTGAGGTAGGGGGCATTGGTCTTTACTTTTCCTTCATTCTTCCAGCCTTGCCAGAAGTTGGGAAAAAGATTGAGCTAACGCTTTACCTGACTATTCTGGTGTTACTGTTTTGGTTTTACTGAATTTAATGATTTTTAGCCATATCTGTCACCTGACCCAAGAGTATCAACTGTGTATGTAGCTTTTCATCCTCAGAAAAGGCAACTCGAGTCCAAGCACAGCCTGGTGTGGGAGAGGCAGCAGCCAGCTGGGCAGTCTGAGTGAGTTTCCCCTCTGCCTGCAGGTGGGAGTACATGCACACCCCTCCAGAGAGCTCCAAAGAAGCAGAAATCCTGGAGGTTCTGCGCAATCCCAAAGACTGGGTGCACTGATATAGATGGTGAACAAGATGGATTGCTTACACTGAGCCATTATGTGAAAGAACATGAACGCCTGCACACCAGCTCCTTCAAACTGCATGGCGTTTTAGTGTAGCTATTTGTACTCTTACCCGGTGCCTTAATAATGCTGTAGGCTTGTTTATAACTTGCAAATATGTGAAGTCATTCTTTAAGATTGATGGGCTAATGTTATTACCCCCTGTTGATGTTGCCTTGTGAAGGACTGGCGGTACCCTCACAGGACTACTGTGCATGTTTATGAACTTCCTCAACTGCTGTGACTGCAAAATGGCCAACCACTGTAAAGTGGAGTGGAGTGGAAATGTTATCTGTGCCTAAACAGCACTGTTTACTCTTAGAAAACGTTGGGATGTTTGAGAAATACTTTTTTTTTTAAAGAATAAAGGGAATATTTGGTATGATTAAAAAAAAAAAGTGATTAAAAAAACCCAACTTAAACACTGCTTTCAGGAAGTTGTGAAAAACGTGGTGCTTAATCATGTATTTTGATGCTATCCACACTGACTTGGGGTGGAGGGGAAGTTTTTAAGATGTGCTGCTGAAGCATGATTTGACTGATCAGTAAGTGGGTGATTCTGGGTTGGGGTTCCCAATGTCACCTGATGAGAGCAGCAGGAGGCTGGCTGTCCATTTTGAAGAGAAAAAAAAATCTTTTCACATCAGGCATCTCAGCTGTCATCAAGATGTGATAGCAACCTGCCTCGGGCCAGCTCCTTTGCCAGGGACAGATCCAGATCTGTCAGATGTTGCCCTGAGGGCCCGCAAAGAGCACTTTATGCTGCTCCCACCTGTGCGTAGCACCGTGGATTGTTCTTTCCTTCCCGTCCCGGCACAAACTTCATCGTGGACCTCGGGAAAAGCAAGAGAGGAGGGGTCCCATCGTCCCTTGACTGAGAAAAAGGCAGAACCATCTCCCCGTCGGGGAATCGAACCCCGGTCTCCCGCGTGACAGGCGGGGATACTCACCACTATACTAACGAGGAGTGAGACACGGAAGATTTTACTTGTCGCCGTGACAAGGTGGTACCACCGCTGCCGTGTTCACGGCGTCTGCACTTAAATGGGATTAAATCATTAATCCTTAAGTCCTGACTCAGTAAAAGCCAGCGATCGCCTAACCTCCAAGAGGAAGGGGGTGGGGGAGAGGAGAGAAGAAGAAGAAAAAAAAACAAAACAAAACCCACACACCAAAAAAAAATCACGTGGCCCGTACGGGGATCGAACCCGCGACCTTGGCGTTATTAGCACCACGCTCTAACCAACTGAGCTAACCGGCCGCGCTATGTGGCACCGCCGCCCGCAGGCAGCTCACGCGTTCCGAGGGCGCTGACGGGCGGTGACGGGCGGTGACGGGCGGTGACGGGCGGTGACGGGCGGTGACGGGCGCTGTGACAAACGGGACGGGACGCGCGGCGCCGCGGGTGGAACTACTGCCGGGAGCTGCCTCCCGGGGGCGCCGCGCCCGTCGTCTCAGGGAGCGGCGACTGAGCAGCGCGGGAATTGACCGGGGCGGCGAGACCTGATAAAACTTTCAAAATTTTCATCACGTTGCTCAGCGTGCCGCCACCCCCGGGGGAAAAAGGAAACGCCTCCTCCCCGTCGGGGAATCGAACCCCGGTCTCCCGCGTGACAGGCGGGGATACTCACCACTATACTAACGAGGAGCGAAGTGCATGAGAGGTGGCCCCCACCGGATCCCAAGAGCCACCCGCGGGCCCCCACTCGCCCTCCGCGAGCGTCCATTCGCCCTCGACACGCAGCCTTCCTTCGGGCCCCAGCACCTCAGGGTGGCGAAGTGTCCCACCGCCAAACCAGCTGTCCTGAGAGGAAAGAGTGAACCTTTCCCCAGCTACAAAGCCAGTCAGGTCGCATCTAAAACCGTGGCGTTGTGTAAAAACATGCAGAAAATACATAGGAATTTAATACCTGTGAGCCTGTGAAAAGGTTGTAAAGGAGGAACCCTGAGCCCCTTGCTTCACAGACTGTCAACCAGAGTGCTGAGTTCCTCAGTTCTCCTCTCATTTGCCACCAACACCACCTATCATAAAATACATTAAAAAAGAACATATTAGGAAGACAATTAATTTGAACACACAATCTATCAGAAATCTGCTGTAGAATGCTAGTGCTTCACAATATCACAAGAGTTGGCAGGATTGCAGACTGCACAGAATCATATCAGAAAGATATTTGTACATTTTACACAGGTTACAATAAGCAGAACTGTTTGCAGGCCACAGACCGTATATAATTAGATTATGTGTGAAGCTACAGATTTTCAAGGTTGAGAGGAGTGTTAACACACTTATGCTTGCAGCAGTTGCTTTAGAGGACCTTGAAAGCTGCTGGTTAGATTAAGATAGCCTGAAAGAATGCTGACTACATTGCTGCTTTCCTGATACAGAAATGTTGGAAGATTGTTTCAACCATAGAGGAGGCTCAAGGGTTAGTCCTAGGGCCAGGGCAGACTCGAGGTGGGTGTGGTGTCTGCTGGGCCAGGCAGCCCCCCCAGGGCAGGGGAAGGACACTCACGACCCCTGAATTGCTCTGCTACAACCTACCATCTCAGCCAGGCTGGATAGAGCCCTGTCTGTAGGTCAGGACGAGCAGCCAACAAGTCTTAGCAGAACCAACAAGCTGGGTGAGCTGTGGGACAGCTGCAGGGATCATCTTCTTCACAGGGCACACCACTTCCTGATGGCCACCGTGATGGGGGCCATGACACCAGCTTCCTGATGTCACAGTCTACCTCCCTGCTTCTTGTCGGGGTAGTGCCAAGGAGACTGGGAACAAGCAAGACCCAAACAAGCAGAGGGGAGTGGCTGCTGTCCTTCAGGTGGCAAACCAACAAGGCTGTTGGCTGAACCATGGACCAGACCGTCGGGCTTGGCAGGAAAAGGCAGCGGATAAAGAGGGACAGCTGGGACATCATGTCTTCCCGGGGCCTGGGTAAAGGACCTCATCAACACTCCCCACTCTAATGAGACCCCAGGACTACTACCCGCTCTTGGTTTTTCAGGTGGGTAGCGATGATATTACCAGGAGAAGTCCAAAATCAATGAAGAGCGATTTCAGGGCCTTGGGGAAACAGGTTAAGGGGTCGGGGGCACAAATAGTGCTCTCCTACATCCCTTCAGTTGTGGGGATGGATGAGGAAGATTACAGGAGAACTCAACAGATGAACTTGTGGCTTCAAGACTGCTGTTACCAGCAGGGCTTTAGATTTTTCAATCACGGGTTGGTATACAGGGCATCAGAGTTTTTGGCAACAGCTGGGATGTGCCTGTCCCAGAGGGGGAAAAGGATCTTGGGGCAGGAGTGAGCTGGGCTCATTGAGAGCGCTTTAAATAAGATTGGAAGGGGGCAAAACTGGAACTCCCAGACATAAACCTCAGGGCAGATGGCCAGAGTTTGTGGGCTGTTGTGCCAGTGACAACTCTCACCCTGCCATCTCAGTGGAGGCAAGGGATGGAGATGTCCAGCACAACAAAGATGCAAGGGATATGGATGGATCAGTAACCATGGTAACACCTGCGACAGCTCAGGCTGGAATTAAGACCCCTAAATGCAAAAAGGTGCTGGGGACATCAGCCCACCTGAAGTGAATGTATACCAATGCACACAGCAAACAGGAGGAGCTTGAAGCCGTGATGAAACAGGAAAATTATAATGTCATGGCTATCACAGAAACATGGAGGGATGTCTCCCATGACTGGAGTGCACCAACTCATGGCTACAAGGTCTTTAGGAGGGACAGACAAGGCAGGAGAGGCGGTGGAGTCACGCTGTATGTCAGGGACTGTTAGTGTAGTGAAGACAGGGTAGAGTGTCTCTGCATTAGAATCAGGAGGAAGGCCAACAGGGCAGATGTTGTAGTAGGAGTCTACTACAGGCGACCTACCCAGAATAGAGAGGTGGATGAGATATTCCACAGGCAAGAAATCTCACAATCACTTGCCCTTGTTCTTGTGGGAGACTTTAACTTCCCAGACATCTGCTGGAAATACAACACGGCGGAGCGGGACGAGCCCAACCGAGGTGATTCTGTAATCTTTGACACATGCATCATCACAGGCACTTGTGTAAATGATGATGGATGGAGCAAATGTACATGTGAGAAATTGGTTATAAATGTGCCCAAATGTGTGGAAATGTCTGTTAAGTGTGGTGGCAGATTGGTGGTGTGACTCTTGTGCCATGTAAGT